AGGCAATGCCTTCGAATCTTAAGAGTATTTACTTCCTGCTTAGAAAAAGAAGTTATTAATTGCCCGGAGTTTGGCGGGGTAGAATAAAAAAGCCTTCAAAATAAAACACTTTTTTTAAAGATTTCATACGCACTTGAAATGGTTGAGTCTATTGAAAAGGTATGGCGTTCCTATTTTGGACAATGAAATTAAAATTCTTTATTAGTATGTAACTAGGCCCCTTTCAGGACACTTATGTACACGTCCCACTATATCCTGCATTGTTGCCACTTTGAGACGACATAAAATACATGTTACGTGACTAAAGCTACCTCATAGAGTTTTCCATCGAATTTTCCTCTCATTAAATGAAATAAAGCAAATATTTCGTCCCATTTCCAACCCCGTTACGTATGCTTATTTACTTTGACGCTAATTGGCTCGAGCTGAATTCTCACGAACTGTTTTTGTCAGGCTCACACGATACGTAATAGAGCCGGTTATGTAACGTAATGGTTTTGGGATCAAATCTGATGCCTAACGTACGTAAGTTCAAATAAAATAAATTGTTTTATTTTGACGAAACCTTTGATTTTCATCAGCAACAAAACAAACAAGAGCTTATCCACTTTTTATAGCGTTTTAAGGGCCTTTGTTATATGTATAAACTAAATATTTAAGTTTCACTGATCACTGAAAAAGATAAATAAAGTTTACTGGTACTTAACCTTTATTGGCTAGATAGCATTAGTCAGATAGCTATCTGAAACTTTATCAGGAACTGCTGAAATTGCGCCCTAATTCTTATTTCGTGTATCATAATAAACAATGAAACCCTGAAAGCTCGCTGAAATAAACCGTAGCAACAGAACTCATTTTGTAACTTTTATGATTTTTACGTTTGGTTTAATTTGCTTCAGAATTAGTAATACCCAAAGAAATCTATTCACAACAGTACGTTTCTCTAGAAACTTCCTGCCCCTTACAACCAAACTGTGGAATGGACTGTCGTCTGCGGTGTTTCCGGACGGATACGACCTGCAAGCTTTCAAGAGGAGAGCGTATCTTCACCTTAAAGGCCGGCAACGCACCTGTAACGCCCCTGGGTCTGCGGGTGTCTATGGGCGACGGTAATCACTTACCATCAGGTGATCCGTCTGATCGATTGCCTCCTGTCACATAAAAAAAAACAAAATCTGTCTTGTGTATTTTTGTAGTTATGTATCAAGAAGCTAAGCGTTCTAATAACTGTGATTGTAACGAAAATTTTACTTATTTCCTCGCCTACTACCCTCAAATAACGTTACACAACTGCCCTGTATGTCAAAGGTTACTGTGCGGTCAACTGCGGGTATTTATAGATTCGCGAAGGTTGTCATTAACACGCAACCTTTTCCGTGTCGTGATAACACTGCGGTTTGTAATACAGGGTGTTTGGCGCATCGTGTGCCAAAATGATTTGGCGGATAGAATGGGTCATTTCCTATATTTTCAGCCCCCATAACACGTTCCATGTCAGGCGGCTACTTTTATATTAGGTAAGTTTTTTAGTAATTTCACCAAAATACCCAAATCGCATCATTTAATTTCGATTTAAAAAAAAACTACTAAGCGTAGCCTCAAAGTAAATATTTTGTTTTGACGTGCATTGATATAGGGTTGCATCAAATCTAAAGTTACTGGCAAATATCATCTAGTTTTTTTTTAATTCAGCTTTGAACTTTTCCGAAAAGTTAAAAATGGACTGAACATTTAAGTTTACATGGCTATAAATTTTTTTTTAAAAGAGATAGCGATCTTCGGATTTTATCAAAACTTCTCTAGTCTATCCCCATTCAAACGGTATACTAATCTTGTTTAAATAATAACAACAACTTCACAAATTCCCTAAATTAGTGCATTGACTCTATTCGGACTGATTTGCGAAATTTGTGTTTATAGCCCCTTTTTGTGTGAATAACATGTTAAATACCTACAGGTAAAAATGTTATTCACACAAAAAGGGGCTATAAACACAAATTTCGCAAATCAGTCCGAATAGAGTCAATGCACTAATTTAGGGAATTTGTGAAGTTGTTGTTATTATTTAAACAAGATTAGTATACCGTTTGAATGGGGATAGACTAGAGAAGTTTTGATAAAATCCGAAGATCGCTATCTCTTTTAAAAAAAATTTTATAGCCATGTAAACTTAAATGTTCAGTCCATTTTTAACTTTTCGGAAAAGTTCAAAGCTGAATTAAAAAAAAACTAGATGATATTTGCCAGTAACTTTAGATTTGATGCAACCCTATATCAATGCACGTCAAAACAAAATATTTACTTTGAGGCTACGCTTAGTAGTTTTTTTTTAAATCGAAATTAAATGATGCGATTTGGGTATTTTGGTGAAATTACTAAAAAACTTAATATAAAAGTAGCCGCCTGACATGGAACGTGTTTATGGGGGCTGAAAATATAGGAAATGACCCATTCTATCCGCCAAATCATTTTGGCACACGATGCGCCAAACACCCTGTATATTATTATCTGGTTTCCAGACTTGCCAGCAATAAATAAGTTTGAGTTACGGGGGTGTTTTAAGGCTGACGATACACTGGTTTAACAGTTCATAAATCAGTCGATAGCATTTCAAACCAGGTTAAGTTTTGTATGTTATTGCAGTATGAACTGCATGTACCTATGTAGTTCATGCCCTATTACTTTACTATCACTAAACATCTTTTTTTCCTATACAAAAGACCGCACACGGACGCCTCCTTGGCTATGCAACACTGGCGACCAAGAAACTAATTTTTTTCTCGACGATCAATATTGATGCTCTTTTGTTTTTCTTTATCTCCTCTCGAATATTGGCGCAATCAATTTCCACGTTTCGATTTTATGTCAAACTAGCTGACCCGGCGAACTTTGTTCCGCCTTAATGGCAATAAGTAAGCAGACTTTTTTTTTAATTTCGAACGGGATAAAAAGTATCCTATGTCCTTCTCCTGGCTCTAAACTACCTCCCTGACAATTTTCAGCTAAATCGGTTCAGCCGTTCTTGAGTTATAAGTGGAGTAACTAACACGACTTTCTTTTATATATATAGATATTTTAAAAGTTAAAAAAATATCTATCAATTAAATTAAAGGTGTGCAATGCCTAATGTGAAAATTCAACAAAAGAAATATTCTCTTTGTGCGAAATGAGTTAAGGCGCCAAAAGTCACGTGATTTAGAGTAGGCGCTCACCGTTGATTTTTCGTTGGCCGATAGTTTAGTCGGGCAGTTGATCAGTATGGGAATGTATGGGAGTGCGCACACTACGCCGATTCGATTTGGCCGATTCTTCATACAATTTGAAATCGGGCACAACTATCGGCCAACTAAAAATCAACGGTGTGCGCCTACTCTTAGCGATGAAAATAATTTAAGAAAGAAGATAACTAGATATAGAAATCTAGGACCAAATGAAAGCGATCTTCAGTGTGTATTAGTTTCTACCTACCTTCTTCTAATACTTTTATTTATTTTTGAAGATTTTTCGATTTAGAATGTTAATCTTGTAGGTATAAAAAAAAGTAATTATAATTTAACCTAAATAATTACTGACCTTCACGAAAGCCTTTCGGCTAGACGGATATTACAGCAACATTGCAAACTCAGTTTAATCCCACTCAAACGCTTTCAATATCTGATTTGATCTTAGCATAATATTGAGTTATGCTAATTTGTAAACTTTACGCATAAGTAAGTAACTGCTGATATCAATCCGATCTTGAATTCATCATTTATAAGCAATTTTATTAAAATACTTTTTCGTCTCTCTCCTGAAAAGTTCAAAAGAATATCACTGAACATTTTCTCTGTGTTGTTTTTTATCTTTTTGACGCTAGCAAAGGCATAAAACAAATACAGCCAATGAAACTTTTTCACGTCATGCGTTATCTTTGGTTATGACGTGTTCATGGCCCATTTTCTTGTTTCTTATCGATTTGATGCCTTTATGTTCCGGAATAATATGACGTAGCGTAGGTAGCGTTCTCTTGGCGTTACTTCTGTTTTTTTAATCATCATCATCATTACCTATTACCGCCAATGGTATGCTTAACGTTCCTAATTAAGTAATTAATATTTTTGAAGAAAATTTCAATACTAATACTTTCAAGGGAATGGGAGTGACACGCAGTTGTTTCATTAGTTAAAGAGTTGAGGCTTAAAATGTTTATAAATTATTCGCATTGTTAAACTTGTATCTGTAAATACATTAATTAAGTCAAAGTTCTGAATCTAAATTTGTTTGTATTCGCTTGAGAATAATACCTATCCCAATAGCGGTTAGCTCAAAGAGTATGGACTAAATCACTTTAACCTAGACGGTAGAGTTAGGATTTTAGGATTTAGCTACTTCAATATCCTGAAAGGAAAACATTGAATCACCCGTATATTTGCCCCAATGTTTGGTTAAGGAGCGAGGGCGTATTTGCCTTGCCTGAAATCCAGCAATCACTCGCAGTTCGAAGGGGAGGAATGAAGTGATATCAAGCGATATTAAGCCTTCGGAATGTTACCAAGTTACCATAAACTTTGTCAACTGTCTTCGTAACACCTGTTTTAATTAATAATGCGCGTATTTCGTGTACCCTTGAACACTAATTTAAAAATAGACAGCTGAAATGAACATTCGTGCTTGAGTTGGAAATGTTTATTTTAGAGACAATGAAAACTGTCCTTACCCATTGTTTTAGAGAAAATATAAATACTGCCGAGATATTAAAATTTTCTAACATAGGAGGTACGCGAAGGTTCATGTAATGTACTATTCGTGGTCCCTTAACCATGTTCAAAACAGTTGTTTACTTATGCGACTTTTATTTTACTGTTATTGGATTTACCTATATCTCTATGGGAATTATCACCACCTTAAAAGAAGCACTAGGTGATTTTGTTTTCAAGGTACCCATATATTGAATGAAATACATATCTTTTTATTACTTTTATATGGTAATTTAATATTTAATTTATCTTCTCTTGTTACAGCAACGAGTGGGTCCGGCAGCGGGCCTGGAGGGGGTGAGGCGCGGCGCGGGGGTGACGTCACGCCGCACGCGCAACCTCAGAGGCGGCTCATCAAAGTCGACTTCGACAACCTTGAGGTCAGTGAAAATACCATAATATGTAGGTACATTTTGAATTTCAAGTACACACGTTAAGTATAGATATACCTTTAGTAACATAGGTACTTTCATGATAGGCATGCTAAGGCCTATGCTAGGAAAACTGCTAGTAGTCATTGAAGTAAGTAAGATACTGAAGAGAAAAGATGACACAATTTTTTTGAGGTGTCCACAGATCGGTGTCCACGCGCAAAATGTGAAAATAAAACTCATAAAATAGTTCTGTCAATTTTCACCCCACTGTTGCATATTGCAGCTCAAAAAATACTGCTTATAGCAGACTTTGTTTCCTCATAAATAGAGAAAACAAAGAGCTTGCTTCTTAGTTGACATTTAAATACAAGAGATTGTTGATTATTACACAGTCAGATCAAAACAAGATGGCCTTTCGGATTTGAAAGTATGAATTGCCTTAGGCACTGAAGCCTCTTAAGTTTTCTGTGCTCTAAAAGGTTTTTAACTAGATGAATATGAATGTGAATTCGAGTTTGTACTTTGTTTTTTATACCTTATTGAAATCATAGATTCCAAGAAAAATATCAAACGGTTCTAAAGTAGAAGGCAAAGTTAAATGAGAAAAACAACTCGTAAGATGTGTGTTAAAGTAGTTTGCATTCAGGTTACGTTTCTCGGCAGATTATGCGCCGCGGCGTCCTGCATATTTTTAGTATTATAGCATTTTCTTCGCTAGCCAACAAATCCTAAAGTCTGCATATTTCAGTATGCTAGGTTTCGTGACTCGTACAAAGAAACCGCTTTGAGAAAAAAATACAAAAACAGAGCAATATAGGTGCCTTTACCTTATTCGAACTTGCTTTCGTATTCCGAAAAACCAAGCAATTTTAAACCTTGTTAGCTGTGCTAAGTAAATGTCTGCACTGCAACTCTGTGTTCGACTTTAAACTCTACCTCGTTGAGTTAAGATGACTCTTCTTAAAGGAGCTCTAGATTGCATATTTCTCGCCTAACTTGGCATATCGTAAGTGGCTTACTATCTCTTGCGGATATGTACGTACAATGCCAAGGCCATCGTTTATGTAGAGACATAAATATTGAGACACATTAAGTAGACTGTGTTTTTATAACTTGAGAAACAGCATTCAACTGACCTATATCAATAAAAGTTTTGATTGGATTAAAAAAGTAAAAAAAAACATTCAAACACCAAAACTATATTATGTAAATAAACACCTTCCTTTTCCTGATTTTCAGGGCTGGCATATAATTTTACAGAACTTTTGAATAAATCATTTAATTAAGTATTAAAAAGAAAAATAAACAAGAAATATTTATTATAAATACTCTAAAGAGTAATTTACCTTCACAATTAAAATCCCGTTCGTGCAATAGAGTCACCGAGGGAATTTAAAAATAATTCAAATCCTGGCCACTTTTTACAGTCACGAAATAAATCGCGTTTATGAATAAAAAGAATATAACGTGAAAAATGTTTATGAAAAATTCGTAGAGCCAAGGAATAACTTCACGCTGCATTCTCTGGCGCTATACTCCCGGGGGAGGGAAATAGGTCAGGTGCTATATGTGATCCGATACGCTCGCTATCAGTTACAAATTGTTGGGGAAATTATTTGCCTTTTTAGAAATTGTTAGTGTCTGTTGCACGATTGATCTTTGACTTTTCACAGAATTTTTTCTCGGATGAAGATGCACGGATAAATGATAAATTTGTCATACCTAGTTGAAATATTTTTTGTCAATCAATTAGTAAGTGCGTGACAAGTAAAGCCCCTCTTCGTCGCCGTCGTTTCAGCAAAATGACGTCCACCGCTGGACAAAGGCCTTTCCCAAAGATTTCCACAAAGACCAGTCCCGCGCTGACCGCATCCAGGTTCTCGTCACAAATTCATAATGTCTTTTTCTTCTTCTCTATATGGTAGTAGTTTTTACCAATGTCTACTTAAGAACAACTCGTTTTATGACCATTTAAGCTGACTATTTATTAAATCTGCTACACCAATAAATCATTGCGGAAGCCAGTACGATGTATAATAGTAAAGTCGACCGTGTTACGTGCACAAAAAAGAAATTAGTTTTTGCTCCCACGCTAACAGGGCGATGACTCGAGTTTTAGTGCTATTGGTATACCCGATCGAACGGAGAGATTCAATTAAGAATAGAACTGCTTAAAATCTGTGGGTGATAACTAACCTAGACTTTATCTGAACAAGTGCAATGATACTAAATAGGTTCAGGTTCTTGTTGTCAAGTGAAAACTGCGGCAAAAATTCCTTCAAAGTCGAAATTGACATTTGGTTTTATTTCCAACGCTATTTAAAATACTTTGATGCTAATAAAACTCAAAGGACTCATAAAAATGTTTTGCACAAACGCTTTTTCCATCCATTAAAATAAGCTTTTAAGCCAATAACTTTATTTTCCCTATGAAAGCTTTACTGAGTACAAAAAACCTACTGAGCGTCACTAACTGGCTTTGTATTCGGCCTTTCATGCGATACCATTAACATCAAACACTTCAGCTGAAAGCCTTCGATACAGTTTCAAAAGGCTGAAGTATGCGATACCTCCTCTACGTAGCTTTATTACTCGATACACAATAGTAAAAGAAGGAACTTTTAGAGCACCTTTTAATGTGAATGAAAGTTGTACGAAATCTAAAATCTATTTAAGTTTTCAATGGCAGAGATGAGTATTGTTATCTTTCTATAGAGACATCGTTTTGACTTATCGTTAGTAAGTAGATGATTGCTTATGTCAACACTCCTCACTAAGTAATAAGTAATCTAGTTCAGGTTCTAAAGATATAAACTTAGTTACAGCGAAGTAATATTTAACGGCTTACTTAGTTATTACTTTTCCAGGACACCTCAGTAAGTACAGAATATTAGCACTTCGAAATTTCCTCTAACGGTACTTAAATATCCTTTAAAAAGAAGACGGTCACAACTTACACTTGTGCAAACCGCGCAAGGCTCCCATGCCCCAGTTTTGTTACAACGGGAGTGTCGACCTTGTGAGTCACGACATAAGACCGTTAGTTCCGTGAACGAGTGTTTCGCAGGGTAGCATCATCGGTCCGGTCCGTTTTATACTTCCAAGTGTTTTGTAAGTTTTGTAGGTTGTGAGACACAGCTGGAAAATGGGAGCTCTATATTTTTTTGTATACAAGTTTCTGGCATAAGTTACGAATCTAGGACTAATTTTAGGAGTAATCTTATTCAAAAACTTTAAAGCGACTACACTGAAGGTTGCTAATGTAGTCTCCATTCAATCAAACTTTTTGTTTGTCTATGTGTTGAAGAAATCAGAGAGCGAAAGCCTTTATCGTCATAACGTATGGTGCAGCATCTTAATCAACGTTTAGAAATTAGTTTTCACCTCATGATGACACTCATTAAGTACTGACAAGTAAATATATTGTCGACGCCCACTTCGTCCACGTGAAGTACTTGAGTAAACTTACCCTAATACAGTTTTAATATCTAATAGATAGGTAGATACGTACATACTTAATTCCTTCATCATTAAATTGGAGCTCAACATTGAATGAAACAAAAAATATCTAGATGTCTCTACTAGTTGTTTAATGTTCAATGAACAGTCTTTTATTTTATTTGTCTAAATAGTTTCCACTTAAGTTTAATCATCTACCAACCTACTTTCAGTTATGACGCAAACATCTTTACTCAACTTTTCGCTTGTTATATTTTCTCTTACACTTCAATTTCTTTTGAAGAAAAAACAACTCACTATAACCGATTTAGTATTTCGTGGAACACATGTTTGAGGCTGGTAAAATATAATGAGCAATAAAAAACCAACCTGAGATGGAATTGTGTAAAGCGATCGTTATCATTTGACAGTTCATAACGTACGATTATTCTGTCAAACGCTTTGTTTAACTAACTTTATCGTACGTTATGAACTGTCAAATGATTACCAATCGTAATCATTTGACAGTTTACACAATTCCACCTCAGCAGGGCTAAGATGCGCGCCGTGATAAACTGCTATCGCGGCGTTATATCGATTTTGACGTCACTATATCGTTTTATCTACCGGCGCTAACATGGCACCCCGAAAATTATCATGTCATCTGTCAAAATGTGATAGTGATAGATTTGTTTTTTTTTTTTGTGATAAACCTGGCAAGCCCTAACATGAAGCGCTAACTATATCATATTTTGACATCACGATAGGATAGGATGTGGTGTTTTTATCGTCCTCGATCCTTGCCCACGATAGCAAGACGATAGGAGATTAACTTTTTTGCAAGCTACTTTAACTCTATTTATTTATCATTTATAATGGTAAATGACATTTTACGACTAATTTGAGGCTAGTAAAATTCAAAGAAAGGAATCTAGCACCTTTGTGATACTTTTACTTCTAGGTGGAGATTGAGTTCTAGTTCAAGAGTTTATCAGTGTGAGGCGAATCTTGCGACAGTTTATAATCGCTAGCTGCAAAATCTTAGTGCTCCCACAGTCCCACCCACATATTAATTATTACATTACCTACCTTGTAAAATAACCATTACTTACCTACTTAGGTAGGCAGTCAACAGTACATCAGACAATACATATTAAGTTGCAAATGTCGTGAGATACCCCACAGTGTTTAGCTTGATTTAAGTACCTACTGTCATCTGTACATAATCTTGTAAAATTATTGAAAATGGGGCGGAATGTGGTGACCGAGCTTCTTGTGTCTACATCAAACAGTGGCAAGGTCATTGTCAGAAATTAGCATTGGGTGGGATGTGTAATCAAACTTGCTATAATAACAATGAGAATAAATGAATTTTACTAATTTTATAACTTGATGGTGATACCATACATACATTCCACATTACTATCAATCTAATTCCTCCATGTGGTCTTTTTTAAGGGCTTTAATGTGACAGGATGATAATCTTGTACAATTTATTCCATTATAATAAATTCATCATCATCTCAGCCATAGGACGTCCACTGCTGAACTTAGGCCTCCCCCAATGC